TCAAGACATTCACACATCAAATGTTTGAATCAAATGACAAACGATTCACTCTATGGCGGGAAAGCATTCAACGGATTATTCACAACAACTGTTATATAAGGAGTTGAGTTCACATTCAAAAGTAGTGACCATTCATATGGTAGTATACAGTAATACAGTTTTGAGGGGCAAATGGGGGCTGTATTTTAGAAAATTGTACGATATTTGTTAATAAAGCTTATAAATAGAGATGACCGTATAATGTAAATAAAATTCACAACAATTGTGACAATAATAATGAGGGGTTAGGACTATAATAATGAACTAATCAAAGGGGTTTGAACTGAAAATATACATTAAGCCAAAACAAAGTGGTTTTACATTAATAACAGATTATATGAATGAAATATAATGCTAGCGGTAAACACCTCTATGGCAATGATTACAATCAAAACCCCGTATAACATGTAAACAAAACTTAAAAATTGAGTGAAAATTGAAAATTCATTGCAATTATGATGCGATTTATAATAATTGGCGTTTAATTGAGTAATAAATTGAGTGAAAATGCAATAAATATAATNGCGGTAAACACCTCTATGGCAATGATTACAATCAAAACCCCGTATAACATGTAAACAAAACTTAAAAATTGAGTGAAAATTGAAAATTCATTGCAATTATGATGCGATTTATAATAATTGGCGTTTAATTGAGTAATAAATTGAGTGAAAATGCAATAAATATAATGAGTGTTAAGATTAGGATATTGTTATCAAAGAAATGCTAGACTTTTACGGCTTTCATACAAATGATTACAGTTTTGATGAGTTTTTATCAATTGATTGCAAACTTTGATTGAGTGATGAAAACGTTGAATAGATTTCTATTGAATAAAATGTCTTTAATTTATTCATTGCTTTCACTTTTATCACTCTTTTTGGGTAAGTCTTGGACATCACCATCACGTGAATGATCTGTGAATGTGTCTCATGTGTGTTGTCTTTGCCGTCAGTGTTGTCCACTTATAACCATTTGGTGAACACCTTTGAGGAGGACTTCTCTCAAGACAATCAAAATCTGAAGTCAAGAGTCCGTGAGTTGGAGAAGAGGATCGAGACTCTGGAGAAGAGCGTTGACCACAAGTACCCAGAAGTGGAGCGATTGTCTTACGCCGACCGCAAACGCATTCTCATCACCGGTGGCGCCGGCTTTGTTGGCTCTCACCTGTTGGACAGACTGATGATGAGTGGACACGAGGTGACAGTCGTCGACAACTTCTTCACCGGTCGTAAGAGGAATATCGAGCACTGGTTCGGACACAAGAACTTCGAGCTGATCCATCACGACATCGTGAACCCGCTGTACATAGAAGTGGATCAGATCTACCACTTGGCATCTCCTGCCTCTCCGCCACACTATATGTTCAATCCGGTGAAGACCATCAAAACCAATACCGTCGGCACTATCAATATGTTAGGTCTGGCGAAGAGAGTGGGCGCCAAAGTGCTGGTGGCGTCCACTTCGGAGGTGTACGGAGACCCCGAAGTGCACCCCCAGAGCGAGGACTACTGGGGACACGTGAACCCAATTGGTCCGCGTTCTTGCTATGATGAGGGCAAACGAGTGGCCGAATCCCTGTCCTATGCTTACGCCAAACAGGAGAACCTGTCCGTCAGAGTCGCCAGAATTTTCAACACTTATGGCCCGCGAATGCATGTCAACGACGGAAGGGTTGTCTCTAATTTCATTTCGCAATCTCTTCAGAACCAGTCGATCACTGTTTACGGGACGGGAAGGCAGACCCGTTCCTTCCAATACGTCAGTGATTTAGTGGAGGGTTTGATAGCATTGATGACCAATAATATGACACTTCCGGTCAACTTAGGCAACCCCGAGGAGTACTCGATCGATGAGTTCGCATCTGTGATAAAGCATTTGGTGGGCGCTTCCAGTAGTGATATTGTCTATAAGGATAGCGTCGAAGACGACCCCCAGCGCCGTAAGCCAGACATATCGCGTGCCATTAAATATCTTAATTGGTATCCAAAAGTTCCCCTCAAAGAAGGTCTCATGAAAACAATTAAGTACTTCAGAGAAGAGCTGATCCACGCAAATGCCAAAGAAGACGTCTCTAATTATTCTAATCATATGTTCGCATAGTTTTTCACATTTCTTTCAATCACAACAACTGAAAGTCATTTTGAGAACAAATATTTTATCAAATAATGCATCAAATCATTGATTTTGAAATTATTTTATTGGCAGAATTTTAATCATTCAATTTTTATCTAAAAGTGTTTTTGTGTATAGAATATGAGATTCTTATGATTTTTACTTATATATAGACTGACTATTAAACAATTTGTTAAGAATTTAATTCTATTAGTATTAAAAATAATGTTTATAC